ATGTAGAGTTTTTAGCCAATCACAGCAGCGGTAGACATATCACATTCTTGATTGGTTTCCCATCTAACGGAGTTAACTGATAAATCAAACTCTTACAAAATGGGCGTGCAGGTGGCACAGCATGAACTTAGCGTGCATGAACCACGTATGGAGACCTTAGTCCTCGACGCAGCCGCCCTGGCTTCGAATCCAACCTGTGGTTCTTGGCCGCATGTCTCACCCCCTCTCTCATACGCCCGTTCCTGTCAGCCCACTGTCCAAAAAACAAGCCACTAGTGTTGCAAAAACTAAAAAAACAACATGCAAATCTTTCCCATTAATAAATCACATTCCTCATACATTGCTTGTTTTTCAAAAAGAAATAGAGGGTATTCCAGCTTAAATGTTTGTTTTGCTTCAGCCTTTTGCCTCTAGTTGTCGTTATGCACGTCACTACATTTCATTGGTCTAAAACATTTGTGTATCAAGGCTCATGCACATGTTGGCTTCTGCCATATTTTAGATTCACAAATCTTGCAGCAATTCATCTTGCTTGCAAGGTAAGGAAGATAAATGGAACTTTAAAATATTCGTTGTCCATTGTTTACTACTTTGTTTATTTCTGTCGACTCATTTTGGTCTATTTAGCTTGTTCTTGTAGAAGTTAGCTGTTTTAGATATTCAGTTAACTACAAGGTAAAAAGCCAAGCTAGAACACATACCTAAAAAACTAAAACAAAATAAATATTTTCTTTTGGTTGGTTGGTTTGCCATTACCATTCAGTCCGTCTGTATGTGGAGGTCATACAGGATCATGGCTCGGTCTTTCTCTACCATCTTATGGGGTCTTTCCCACTTTGACCTTTGGGTTCCCAGCCAATACTCTGCACAGATATTCCTGTACACTATTCCAGCCACGTCTTTATGAAGCTCCGAGTGTGTATGTATGTAGATAGATAGATAGATAGATAGATAGATAGATAGATAGATAGATAGATAGATAGATAGATAGATAGATAGATAGATAGATAGATAGATAGATTCAGCATCTATCTATCTAACTGGAAACTTGGTTTTGAATTCTGCTGCATCAGTCATATTAGTATCTTGTTTACATTTTTTCATCATATTAAATGATCAACTGACAAGGAGATTTTAATGTCATATTTGCATTCCCAAGTGTTTAGATAATTTTGATCCTATTTTATCAGAAGCAGTTTTTAGCTTAAGCATTCAGAAGGCCGAGGGGAGTGAAGTGCTTGTTATCTAATGCTGTGGAATTCCATTAAATAACGTTATTCTTGGGTCATTGCTTAAAGGCAGACCAGCTCTGCTAAAGGAAATCTGTGTTAACACAAACTATCAGGCAATCCAACTATTATCATTGGAGCTACCTGTGGTTGGAGCGCTGCTGTTTTCTTAAGCACATGGAGGCCCATCCTTCTAGGCATATTCCAAGTCAGATAAAAAATCTGTGAACAAACCATCATCCTGCTGGATCATTGGAGTTTGTTGCTTGGTGTGAGTTAGTTTAGATAACCATCTGCATCTTGATGAGACTGAGTTTAGAGACAGGGCTGGAAACTGAAACCCCAATCCTCCCTCTGTTGGCTTTTCCCTTTTGACAAAGGTGGCCTCCTTCCTCTTCCTTCCTTCCTTTACCTCAGAAAAAAAGAATAAATGTCAGTTTGCCTCTGATTTAACTCTGTTTAGTGACTGTTTCTTTTGGTTAATTTGCTGTATTTTCCTTTTTCTTAGATAGATCTAGTCCAAAGACAATCAAACTAACATTGAAAGCAGTGTTTACAGTGCCATGGGAAAATCTGTAACCCAAGCAGTTAACTGCTCTATCGGTGCTGCTTGTCTTTGCGGCGCAGGGAGATGTGACATCTCTTCTGCACCTCCATTTTTATTTTCCTGCAGCCAGCTGATCTGTTTAAGGTTCACTTCACTCTGCAATCTCTGCTGCTCACTTCACCTTGCAGTGTCCTTCCCTTGAAAGCAGATTCAGCCAGAGGAATGTGGGCACCAACTTTGATTCATGGCTTCAATGCTTAGACTTGCACAAGACACATTTGCTTAGGAGGTTTTCTTGCATATATTATTGAGATATGGTGCCTTTAAGGAGCAGAACACATCATTAATCTGCTCGGTTTATACACTCTGACACTGTGACGTTTGCTAAGTATGGAATTCATCATGCCTCTTCCCTATCTTAGTCTTAAATCACTGTCTCCTAAAATCGCTGGCATTGCTCCTATCTCCAGGGGTGTCTGGGGGTTGAATGTGCACTGACAGCAGCCGTGGGCAACACTATGCAACACTGCAATGCATTTAATCAGAACAGTCACCAACAGCTTATTTATATTCATTCAGGGAGTCTTCCTCTGTAAACCTGCAGTATAAGCTGCTCCCCAAAGAAGCTGTCAGAGGGACTTGTTAGTCATTCACTTATTCAAAGAAATAACAAACTGACTGGCTGCCCGGTGTTAATGCTGGCTCCAAGCCTGAGCTGGTTCTAGGATACATATAACTACTTTATACAAGCTGATGTGTCGGGTTTTCAAACTAAATACAAGTAAAATGCCTTGCTTAACTTTATTTACAGTGCTGTGCAGGAATTGTTGCTTGTTTGTTCAGATATGCTTCCATGCATTAGAAAAATATTGTTTATTCAATAGTTTAACAGCATTTTTGAAGTCATTAATGTTGTTCTTTAAACTTCAGTAGTTTGTTCATTGATTTAGGACCTTTTTATGAGCAATTAAGACCAGAAAAAGCTCCTAAATTAAAGGAATCAACTGAAAAGGTGTTTTAACAATACAGGGAACCTTTAAAGGTTAATAGTTTGTTACCATTCATTTAGCTGCAATTAGGAAATGTACAAAAAAAGAAAGAAAACAGGACTTTAGCGAAGTAGATCATCAACTAAAGGGGTTTTTATCTTTTAGACTTACTGGGATCTTTCCAAAATTTTCTCCTGTTTGTCGTAACACATAGCTAAATGATACACTGCAAAAAACGTACAGTAAGTCATTTTTTCTTAAAATAAGTGCATTTGTTCTTGAATTGAGGAGATAAAAGAGACATCTTGCCAATGGAACAAGACAATTTAGATTTAAAATAAGAAAACACAATTGCATTCTCTTATTTCAAGTGAATACTATCTAATTATCTTATTTTAAGAGTAAAAATACTGATTCCATTGGCAAACTATCTCATTTACCTACTCAAATCAAGGGTAAATACACTTAATTTAAGAAATGTTTACTTATTTCTAGATCGTTTTTCCAGTGTAGTTGTCATCTCTAAGAAATTAATTTCACGTATCTTGCCTCATTTGTTTTTGTTTTTCTCTTTTCGAATTACTATTTTTTAAGGTAACAACAGGCTGACCTGGTCAGGTAGACAGAAGTGAAAGTTTAGCCAAAATTCAAGGCAATACTGTGAAGACCTTTAGAAAACCTAAAAAACTAAAACAGGGAAAAAGTTTTCCAGGTTAAAAATCGAACAATGTTGCCATATAACAGTGGAAAATGTATAAATGTGAAGGGGAAGGTGTCAGTCACAGCTTATAAATGTTATACTGGCAGGGAGATTTTTTTTGCTCTTCAGAACAAATCATCTGAGGTCTCAGACCAAAGAGAGGAAGCTCCATCTATCAGAAAAAATGGAAAACAACAGCGTTCTTATAGATGTGTTAAATATTCAATCATGTCAGTGTTGAACTGAGAGCTTTTCCATTTTCTTCCTGACGCTCTCCTTCCTCTCTTGTGTTCTCAGTATTATTATCAGCTCAGATGTCTTATTAATATCTGTTAGGGCTGAGTGTGAGGCTCGGCCTGACTCCTGATTTCCATAGAAATCATGAGCTATTTTATCTGTCCATGCAAATCATTAGTTCTCCTGTATCCAGATAATATTACCCGCTTCCCTCTTCATGTTTTATCCAGGAGTGTAATAGTTCAGGGAGTAATTAGGAGCCATATCTGGACTCCAGCTGTGTGTGAGTCATGTATGAATTCTGCTGTAGCCCCATGTTTGACCTGAACACCTACGCTCAGGTTGCCTCTGCTTAGACATTCACTCTGCACCTTCACCTGTTTCCATGGGAAACAAGTTCAGGGACCTGTTTGGAATTAATGACAGGATATGTAGCTTCCTCCCATGCCTGTGGGTGTGTATGTGCTCTGCATGGCAGCCGTGTTATTAGGCTGTTTCTCATGTGGGGCAGATGAGTCTCTGATGACTCACAGAAAATCTCAAAAACTACAAATTCCTACCATAAGCTTAGTCTTAAAAAACAGAGCTCTCTGCTACAGCTCATCCCTCTGATCAATCAATCCTTTTATTTACCTCATTAAAGATGGTCACAGTTGTTTTACAGAAAATAAGTCAGTAAAGCAAACATTTAGGACTGTAAATGTCCTTCGTTTAGGAAAAGACAACCTCTGCTGTCCAAGCTCTCATCATCACCATCTCCTCTGTCATACAGTGTGACATTTCCCTGGGAGCCACTGTGTGGCCTGGTTTTGTCTCACTGCCGCCCCCTTAAGGCACAAGGCTGCACCACACCCAGGAGCAGGATTATAGGAACATTTTCAGATGACATTGAGGAGACAGGAGATATTTCTATGTTTGCATTTTCTAAACTAAAGGACATCACTTGCAGCTTATTGACCTGTTGGTATATAAATCTGTTAGCCAAGCTGAGCATCAAAAAAAAAAAAAAAAAAAATAATATATATATATATATATATATATATATATATATATATATATATATATATATATATATATATATATATATATATATATATATATATATATATATATATATATATTCGATAGATTCATATAAAATAAATGTAACATTTCTTGTATTTATCTATTATTAATTTGCCTAAATGGATGATCTCATTCCTCTGAGCTGAGTGTTTGGACTTTTCTTTTGTGTTTAACAAAAATTCTTGTTTTTTCTGATCTAACTGCCTTTTCATGTGTGGTTTTTTTTTCTGCAGAGAGTGAGCGAGAGGGTTGGAGGAGCAGAAGGAACCAAGCTCGATGTGGACTTCACTGAAATGGAAAAGGCATGTCCTGATTTTTAATATCAACATTAAAGATATTATTGTTGTTGATCTTTTTGCTGTTGCTCTCCTCCAGATTATTTTAACATTCATATTGCTTTTTAAATATTAGTTTTGAATAGCTTACAAAATAATTATTTTTCCTTTATACAAAATTAAAACTTTTTAAAAAAAAAAAGCATGCACAGGCTGTTCTCCCTGGGCATCGGTTGTTCTCTCCAGGTATTCCAGCTTCCTCCCGCAGTCCAAAAACATGACTGTTAGGTTAATTGGCTTCTCTAAATTCTCCTTAGGTGTGCATGAATGGTTGTTTGTCTCTGTGTTGCCCTGCGATGGACTGGTGACCTGTCCAGGGTGTACCCCGTCCCCCTTCCAGACAGCTGGAGATAGGCACCAGCCCCCCTTGCGACCCCACTTGGGATAAAACGTGTCAGAAAATGGATGGTTGGATGGATGAAAATTATTTGGGGCTTGTCAGATTTAAATAATTAAACATACTACAAGTATTAATGAAGAAAGCTATGTAAAGAAACCTTGCCTCATGTAAATCAGCTAAACCTAAAATCAGGTTGACCAACCCTCATCAGCAACAAGTGATATAAGGAATTTATGATAATTGGAAATAAAAAACGTCTATCGAGTATTTTGTTTTTTTTTTTGTTTTTTTTACTCTTTAGAGATGAACTTGCTGGTTTGCTTCATTCTGCTTCATGATGCGCTCCAGCTGAAGGTCACAAACTGATAGCTGCTTATTCTTCTTAAGAATATTCTTTCAAAAAGCAGATTTCATGGTTTGATCAATTGCAGCAAGTCTTACAGGTCAGATAAGTGAAGAAGCAATTTGATCCCAGACCATCACCGGTACTCTTTTGGTTCTAGTGGCCTTTATTTGACAATAAGCAGGGTTGAAAGAGATGGAAGAAATGTGGCAAAGGTCCATGAGCCAGGACTCAAACCCATTAGAATCACGTTAAGGACTGATGCGTCCCAACACATGAGTGTCGTGTTCGCTTTGCGCCAGATTTAAAGGGATGCACTCTTTAACAAATGTTCCACCTTTGACACTTCATAAGCTCATCCTGAAGCTGCTCAGGCACACCACTATAACAAAGCTACATGTTCTGACTCTCTGTATCACCTGCATCTCTTTCTCATAATGTTTCCCTGTGTGTTACAGAGGGTGGACACCACCGCTCGAGCCGTGCTGGACATCATGACGAAAACCACTGAGTATCTGCAGCCAAACCCTGGTAACCTTGGATACTGATGCGTTAAAAAATATTTGCTCACACAGTTATCACTGTTTTTAAGCTATGTTCGGCAACACGATGCTTATCGAACTGAAAGCAGAATTTCTACAGTTTGGACAGAATAAATGCTGGAATCCTGCAAAGTTCAGTATCAGGTCTACAGAGCTTTCATTTTTTCCTTTTTTTAAATCAGTGATATTTATATCATTTAGTGAAAGATAGAGTTTATTTAATTAACCCATGACAATTTACAGTTTGGTGGAAAAAAAAAATAAAATATATACACTATATTGCCAAAAGTATTTGCTCACCCATCCAAATTATTGGAATCAGGTGTTCCAATCACTTCCATGGCCACAGGTGTATAAATTCAAGCACCTAGGCATGCAGACTGTTTTTACAAACATTTGTGAAAGAATGGGTCGCTCTCAGGAGCTCAGTGAATTCCAGCGTGGAACTGTGATAGGATGCCACCTGTGCAACAAATCCAGTCGTGAAATTTCCTCGCTCCTAAATATTCCACAGTCAACTGTCAGCTGTATTATAAGAAAATGGAAGTGTTTGGGAACGACAGCAACTCAGCCACGAAGTGGTAGGCCACGTAAACTGACGGAGCGGGGTCAGCGGATGCTGACGCGCATAGTGCGAAGAGGTCGCCAACTTTCTGCAGAGTCAATCACTACAGACCTCCAAACTTCATGTGGCCTTCAGATTAGCTCAAGAACAGTGCGCAGAGAGCTTCATGGAATGGGTTTCCATGGTCGAGCAGCTGCATCCAAGCCATACATCACCAAGTGCAATGCAAAGCGTCGGATGCGGTGGTGTAAAGCACGCCGCCACTGGACTCTAGAGCAGTGGAGACGCGTTCTCTGGAGTGACGAATCGCGCTTCTCCATCTGGCAATCTGATGGACGGGTCTGGGTTTGGCGGTTGCCAGGAGAACGGTACTTGTCTGACTGCATTGTGCCAAGTGTAAAGTTTGGTGGAGGGGGGATTATGGTGTGGGGTTGTTTTTCAGGAGCTGGGCTTGGCCCCTTAGTTCCAGTGAAAGGAACTCTGAATGCTTCAGCATACCAAGACATTTTGGACAATTCCATGCTCCCAACTTTGTGGGAACAGTTTGGAGCTGGCCCCTTCCTCTTCCAACATGACTGTGCACCAGTGCACAAAGCAAGGTCCATAAAGACATGGATGACAGAGTCTGGTGTGGATGAACTTGACTGGCCTGCACAGAGTCCTGACCTCAACCCGATAGAACACCTTTGGGATGAATTAGAGCGGAGACTGAGAGCCAGGCCTTCTCGTCCAACATCAGTGTGCGACCTCACAAATGCGCTTCTGGAAGAATGGTCAAAAATTCCCATAAACACACTCCTAAACCTTGTGGACAGCCTTCCCAGAAGAGTTGAAGCTGTTCTAGCTGCAAAGGGTGGACCGACGTCATATTGAACCCTATGGATTAGGAACGGGATGTCACTTAAGCTCATATGTGAGTCAAGGCAGGTGAGCAAATACTTTTGGCAATATAGTGTATATATATATATATAATATCAAAAAGGTTTTACCTTTCTGCTTATTACAAAGAAACTCTTTAAAGTTATATAACAGAGAACAGAGCTCAGATTAAAAAAAGATTTGTTGAAATTCATGGTTATTTTGCATAAAGCAGAAATTAATACTTAGTAAAGTTTTCCAGTTTTTAACCCTTACGTGAGGGATAACAAAGAAAAGAGAATTTTATATAATTATAAAATAATAATATAATTTCAATCCACTTTGCTCAGGGCAGTAAAGCCTAGGGGGCCATATTTAAAGAACCTTAATCTGTTATGTGGCTTTAAACCCAATTATGAGACTTAATCAAGCTTCACTTGTTGTCTTGTGGAGTCTAGTTTGTATCATTTCAACTTTAATCAAAAGCTTTAAAGCTCTATACTGATTGGACAAAAGCAGTACACTCGTACGCAAAGCATAAAATATATTTTTTTTACATTGACAGAACCTTTCATTTATTGTCGTCAAAATAAGTATTTTTCTCAGCTCATGGTTTAGAATGTTAAACTTATCAGAATGGCATTTGAAGGGATTCTTTCATTTAAGAACCTCTATCAATTAATTAAATTATTGGTAATAATTTCATGTTATGTTGAGAAAGTAAGCTTTAGTTGATTTTAAAATTTTATCTCAAATTTGTAAAAATATTGAAATTAGTATGCTGTGTCCTTTTTTTTTTTAATAGTCAAGGAGAAAATCTTCTAAATCTCTTTTCCAGTTTTTAGTTATGGGTCATTTCTAGAACTGTGGAGCAAATTAATAAAATAAAAGAATAAAAACTAAAAATTAGAAATAGATTTTTTCAAAGACAATAAAGGGACTTTAAGACAATAAGGAAACTGTTATTTAGAATCTGTTATCAGATAAGATTCCTCAGTTACAAACAGAAATGGTGATTTAAAAGATTTAAATAAAATAGGATATTTAGTTAATTCAATTCAATTCAGTTTATTTCTAGTGCACCAATTCAATTCACATGTCATCTCAAGGCACAGGTACAGCTCACTAGATCAATTATACAGTCAAATTGATTAAAAGTTTTCTATATCAGGAGAACTGGTTGATTGCATCGACTCAATGACTTGAATGCAATCCCTCACATTAAGCATGCTTGTAGCGACAGTGGAGAGGAAAACCTCCCCTTTAACAGGAAGAAACCTCCAGCAGAACCAGGCTCAGTGTGAGCGGCCATCTGCTGAGGCCGACTGGGGTCCAAAGAGACACAAAAAGCAACTCTAAAAGACGGTACAGGAAACACACAGCCAGGCAGACGACCTCCCAGCCAACTCCCATGTCAGAGGATGAAGAGAGCACATCCAGCCAGTCACAGTCAAAGAAACAGGACTATACTGAAAAACAGGCTGATCTCGAACATCTGTAAAAATCTATGTTAGGATGTCTTTTTAAGAACATGTTGAATGTTCTTATTCGCTTCCATCCTCCTGTGTTTTTAACTCACTATTGACAGTCAATTCTGGATGGTATTGACCAAGATTCAACAAAAAATTGTAAAAAAAAAAAAAAAAAAGTCAAAAATCACAAACCTAACAGTTGGTCAAATAACATTTCCATTTCCTTTATATTTCTGTCTTTGTTGTTCAGCCACCAGAGCCAAGATGACCATGATGAACTCCATGTCCCGTATGCGAGGACAGGAGAAGGGGCCGGGCTACACGCAGACGGAAACCATCCTGGGAGAGTCCATGCAGAGGTTTGGCAGGGAGCTTGGAGAGGACTCTAACTTTGGTCAGTCTCTGGACCTCCACGCTATGAAACAGTGAACATTTTAAAGCAGTCATTTCCACGTTTTGAATATTATCTATGTGTTTGTAGGTCTGGTTCTGATTGATGTTGGAGAGGCCATGCGGGAGCTGGGTGAGGTCAAAGATGCCCTGGACATGGAGGTGAAGCAGAACTTCATTGATCCAATGCAGAACCTTCACGAGAAAGACCTCAAGGAGATTCAGGTTCAGTCCTTAAAAAAGCTTTAATCAGCGTGAGGCGGAGGCTTTGTGCTCACTTTAAGTTCGACTTTTGCAGCATCATCTGAAGAAACTGGAGGGTCGCCGTCTGGACTTTGATTATAAGAAGAAACGTCAGGCTAAAGTGACGGAGGATGAGCTGAAACACGCGCTGGAGAAATTTGATGACTCCAAGGAGATTGCAGAGCAGAGCATGTTCAATTTATTGGAGAGTGATGTAAGTCTCCCACATCCAGCAATTTTCATATACGAATCTCCAGGGCTGGCTCATACTGTAGCAGGGCCCTAAGCAGAGTTCATTCAGAGACCCTGTTCTCTTTAGGAGTGACTGAACTCACCTACAAAATAGATTTGGTGAAAACAGAGGGGATTACAGCTAGTGTTGCACCGAGGTCCGATACCAATACCAGTATAGGGCGGAGCCCCGATCCAGCACTAGAATGGTGGTATCGGTATCTGCGAGTACCAACAAATTCAACTATTGTCACCCATTCCAGCTAGGCAATAAAGTTCTACTGGATTCACTTTGTATTAGTCTTTTTCGTGCTTCACAAAAGTAGGCAGCAGCTTGACAAAGCCATGATGGCAATTATTTTACATCTGAGTAGTATGCAGTTCTTCATATATACACACACACATCAATTTCAAACAGAAGGTTCGGTATCGGCCAATATTGCACAGCCAGGTATCGGGTTTCGGGGCAAAAAAGTGGCATCGGTGCAACACTAGTTACAACAAACAGAAAGAAAATATTAAACATGTAGCATCAGATTGTAGTCCTGCAAACACAACCATCAAATGAATCTTTATAAATATTTTCTGTGTTTAAAGTTGTTAGCATCTCACAGGATGTGTTTGTCAGATCGAACAGGTGAGCCAGCTGGCGGCGTTGGTCCATGCTCAGGTGCAGTACCACAGCCGCTCCGCTGAGATCCTCACACAGCTCTCCAGCAAGATAGATGAACGGTCAGTAGCATCGCCTTAAGCTTTACCCAAAGGTGTTAACAGAAACGCCTTTGAACTGTTTCCTTCTATGAACAGATTTGGTGCGTTTTTCTTTCTTTAATGACAGGATAAGGGACACGGCTGTCAAACCAAGGAAAGAGTTCGTACCAAAACCTCGTACGTCTCTGGACTTCAGCATCAGCGAGAACCATAATGGAGGAATGCACGGCGCTCGCTCTCCAGGTGAGGGTTGGCTGTTATAAAACAGCTGGAACCCCTCAGCCACTTGGCGACACATCATCCTGATTCTGCATTTCATTTTTAGCATTTCTAAACCTTTTTTTATGTCATCCTTTTAATCCTTATGTTATATTTTGTTAAAATTTTCCATTCAAAGCTATGATCTAGACAGAAAAGCTCTTTCCTTTCCATCTTTTAAAACCCTTATTTAATAAACATTTAATTATTTATTTCCCTATTTATATTAACAGTTAATTAAAGACAAGTAAGCAAGATTAATATCTAATAATATTTCTGGTCCCATCATTTGTATAACTGCAATATTACTGCCTAATTTTATTGCCTTGTTTTAAAAACACTATGGTAACATTATGGTTAGAACAAACAGGAAACAGCTCAATTTAAATAGTATTTTTATCCTTTTGAATAATTTCTTTTCTTTTTCTTGTCCAGGTCTGTCTTGTATGGTTTTACACTAATTAATAATAAGCTAAATAAAAAGTAAAAAAAAATATGTACATGAACAGTATAAAATGACACCGATTTGTTTATCTCTCTGTCTCACTAGCATTAAATCTGACTGAAACCAATTATTTTTATTTGCAAAATCCAAACATTATGATGATGTAATGCCTATATAAGTGTCTAATGGGTAAATATATAATATTTGACTTCAAGGCAGACAAACCTTTAGATGTATTTTTAGGTTAAAAAAAATCTTTCTCTTAGTTTTCTGCCAATAGAAAACTTGAAATGCAAAAAGTTGAATAGGGCAGTGAGAAAAAGGTTGTGTGTGTTTTTATGCAGTGCATGATCATATCTGCTTTCTCTCTTTAGAGTCTCTATATGTTTCCCCCCCAAAAAATCCTCTAAATATACCATCTGTGCAGCTAATAAGATACAAACTAAGACAGGTGCAGATTTATGTTTAATTCATTCACTTTTATGCGAGCAGCAGGAATATTAGATTGAATTGTCTGACAGGCCTCCAACTTTTATAGTAAGAGATTTTGATTTCAAGGAGTTTTCCAGCTGATGTTTTAAATTCAAGGCTATAAAATGTCGGACTTTTAAGTCTTATTAACTCTAACATTAGAGAACATTCAATAATCTGTGACACTTCAGAACATCATTAAAAATAGAAAACCCAGACATCAGATAATTAAAGAATATGAGAAACTGAAATGATAGGAACTAAAACGTTTATTTAAAAGAAACTATTGTTTTATGATAAACAGTTAATATATTATAATAAGTGCATATTGAGGTCCTACTAACACGCTGAAAAGATAAATCTAGGAGGTAAACGTAAGCCAGCACAACAGAGAATTTAAAACATAAAGTCTCCATCCTGCATACAACAGATGTGTTTGAGTTAAAGTACTTTAATTGTTTAATTTCTTATTTCTGCAGCATTTTTTTCAACGCTCCAATACATAAAAACAGCTCCTCATTTCTTTCTTCCTCTATATGATTTGTGTTTTTCCCTGTAGGTGCCAGGTCTCCAGGTGAGCCAGGTCAAACTTCTTCCCACATCCTGTGTTCTAATCAGTTCATTTTCTTTCAATACATCCTTCCTTCACACTAAAAACTCATCATCTGCCTCTTTCATCCCCTGCCCCCCTTTACTGTACGGTGCTGTTTCTCCTTTATCTCCTGTTGCAGCAAGGTCTCCAGGTGAGACAGTTTCTCTAAGAAAGTTGCTCCTAACCGTTCTGAACAAACAACAGAAAATCAGGTGCTGTCTGCTCCTCCTGAAAAGAAAGCAAGATTGACAAAGACCAGATCAACAGCAGACGAGCATTTGGTGTTTCTGTTTCCTCACATCGTTAGTTATCTGATCGCCTTTTCATCCCTTTTTCCTTATTTCTTTTCCTTTGTCAATTTGCTGTCTGGCCTCAGTTTCTTCCCATGTTTTTGTCATATTAACATCACTGCGTCTTTTTCCATCAGTTCATCATTTCTCCAATCTAAAAGTATGATTACTCAAAATATTTTCTCCTTCTACTCTTTGCAGCAAGATCTCCAGGTGAGAAAGAGTGACTTGGGAAGAAGTGTCAAGTTTCTTGATCACTCTTTATTTTTTTTTCCTATTTGTGTCTTTGGGATAAATCTTTTCTTTTGTTTCGCTTTGTTTTGTTTCAGTGCGGTGCTGTTGTTTCTAACCCCCTTTCCCCCCCCCGATATTTGTTTTTAATTGCTTAATTTATAATTGGAGATTTTGGGAAATGTGCTTATTTGCTCTGAGTTGATCAAAATGATGTTTGCATGCAGGCAGAACTTTTTTCCTTCATGAAGTCAGTAAATTAATTAATGGAAAAAGTCTTTGCATACCTCCAGCCTTTCCACATTTGGTCACGTTATAACCACAAGTTTTTAACTGGAAAAAAAGTTGTAGACAAACACAAAATATGTATAAAAGGTGATGCAGAAGGATAAAAATGGAAAGTTTTAAAGATTTCTCATAAAAAGCTGAAAAGGGTGGCTTGAATTTGCAGCCCCTGGCCCTTTTTGGTCCAGGATTCTCCTTTATTTATCTCCCTTTCATTGATGAATAAAAAAAAATCCCCACATCACGATGCTGCCACCACAATGTTTGACCAGCATTGGTACTGTGGTGGTTTTAAAGTGGTTTTAAAGCTTTTCAAAGTAAAAAAATGACTCTCTCAGCAACAGATTCACTCTTAAGGGAGATTTATTTAGTCGTTGACAACAGCATCAAAGATTACAGACAACGCATCGTACAGATTCCCAACTCTCCACAGAGAATGCTACTACTTATACCCTTTTCTTATCATGGAAGTGTATTTGCATGCACAAAAAGCATGCACATGATGTGCGTTTGTACTTGAAAGTAATAAATCTGCACATTCCCTCGGAGGCGTTACATACATTGTGTGAGTGTGTTTCTATGAAGTTGTCTAATATTCTGGCTGCATATGGAAATCCAACATGCCTTGTTGTTGTTCCATTAAGAGAAAGAGGTTCAGCCAGGTTCTGAATGCCTGTAACAAAATGACTGATTATCAGCCTTTCCAACACTCACAAACTGATTCCCCTTTCCATGACCTACAGCTTTGGATGACATCCTTTGACAAAACAACTCTTTCATACTGAAAATACATCTTCTTTCTATCATATGTAAACTCTTAAAAACAAAATTTTTCGAAATTAAATCTGGTCTTTGATGTTCAACAGTCATTCCAATTGATGTGAACTCAAATATACACGCCTGAGTTATAATGGATGCCTTGGCAGCATCTGCATTAATGCTTTTGTCCAGCCTGTGACTTATGGTGGACATCCATCTCTTGGTTGAAGCTGCTCCTCCCTGTCTGTTTATATTATGGTGCTTTTTCATCTTTCACTATTTTCATACCTGTTTGTCTTGATTGATTTGAATTATACACAAAAGAGACCCATGTTTTATATAGCAGTATCATAGTAAATGGAACACAAATGCATGCCACACTTTTTAAATATTTTGCTACAAAGAAAAGCAGAAAATAATGTTATTTGCTCAATAACTGTGACAATAAATCTGAATAAAATGTAGGTTTTTGGTTCTAACATCACAAAATGTGGAAAGGTTTAAAGACTGTGAATAGTTTTCCTCAGTCCAGCGCAGTTTACTTCATTACATCCTGATAAACAGATCATCTGGCTTCCTGAAGGTCTATGGAAGCTCTTCTTTCATTTTCCTCTTAGGAGAGTTTAAAACATGCACTCTCACAATTTTCTTTTCCAACTCACTTTAGTTTGTTCATCTTGACCATAAAATTCCTAAAGGGCATTTCCCAAAAAGTTAAAATCGTCATCATCTGTTGATCTGTTTAAGATTTCTCAGACAGAAATATTATATTTGCTGTGTTTCCTCCTCTTTTTTCTCATTTACAGCCCGGTCTCCAGGTAAGTCTCTAATAGGATGTTTACATACAGCTTCTGGTCTCCTTGAGTTTCTACTGACGGCCTTTTCCCCTCTGGCCTTCCAGCCCCATTGGACCAGCCCTGCTGTCGCGCTCTGTACGACTTTGACCCTGAGAACGAAGGTGAGCTAGGCTTCAAGGAGGGAGACATCATCACCCTGACCAATAAGATCGATGAGAATTGGTACGAGGGGATGCTGCACGGCAACTCGGGATTTTTCCCCGTCAACTATGTGGATATCCTGGTGCCGTTGCCTCAGTAAGACGTGAAGAGTCCCAACCGTGTCTACAATGAATCCTGGCATCCAGTTCCTGTATTTCCACTAACCTTTTCCCAAACATTCCTACTAACACAACCTTCACTTTTCTGTTAATGCATCAAAAAGCAATGATAGAAAGTAAATAAAAATGAAGGAACATTCACTTCAGTGCATCGATGCACTAAAAAAAGTGAAGAAATTGATCAACTTCCTCTCCTTCTCACTTAAGGTACTTCAAGCTTCTATTGTCATCTTTGCATTTTGTCTCTGTTGTAGTCAGCTGTCAGTCCATTAGTTTCTTAGAACAGCTTTACTAAATCACGCTTTCTCTCTGTCTTCGTATTTTGTGGAGATACAGTAGATATCAGCTTTTCTCTGACATTCAACAGGCAAAACATACGAGCCTACCAGCTTTTTGTTTGTTAGGCATGTAGCTCAAATAAGTCTATCAAAAAACACGTGGTAGTTTTTGTGTTAAATATTCCTCCGTTTAATGGTGGTCATTCCTGACTTTCAGACACTTTCTTAACATGTACATTTCCTGTCTTATAAAAAAAAAAAGTTTTAGCCAAAGTTACAGACATATTTATCAGACATTCCTTTATTTTCCCATAGCGAAGCATTCTGGAAGATCAAGGGAGAAATGTCTGCAGGTTTGATGCAAAGCTATTGCTTCTTAGAGAAAGTCGGATCAGTATAAGGACCTGTCTTATGATCTCTTGTTGTTGCAACAATCTACAAATTAGAGCAGGGCAGATGCATCTAAATTGTTGCAAGAGATTACATACATCACTGAATGTGAGGATTTAAGTTTAATATTGGGTTATGTTGGATTGTTTTCAGCAGTCAGTGTCTTTCTTGCAGAAGATAATTTTCTAAATGAACTCAGTTTAGAGAGACTTCCTCCTGGTTCTAGCTTCCATCTGCTGATAGCAGGACCTTAAGCCAGATTGCTGCCATCTTAAAGCATCTCTAATCTACAATATTTAATAGCAGTATCTGCACACAGTAGTTTACAAACCTTTATAACATGGGATATGTTTGTCCAGTCAGACAGCAATAAGGTATAAGAATGTGAACAATAAAAAATCGAGATATTATTGGTAGTGATTATGTATACTGATCTGCTCTGGTTTTAATTCTCCTAATTATAGACAGGTTATTCCCTGTATGCATAGCTAATTATTACATATGAGAAAATTGCATCAGAGCAGAAAGATCCTGCGGTTCAGTTGTGTTAGGCTCCGGTCAAGGATTTGGTGGATTTGCCAACTGCGGTCAACATGTATTAACAGTTTGAAACCTCTATAAATTTTCCTCTGACTGGTAATGTAGGTACATTCCTTCCACAGATCGCAAAATTAGGAACCATGACAAAACAAACAACTAGAGTTTGCATTCATGAAGATTCCTCTTCTTTTACACCAAGTCGTTTCTATTGAAAAGTATTGAAAGTCGATTTGGTTGGATATGCTGAACATAAGGAAATTGTACATCGAGACTTTCCTATATACATGGCTCAGAATCCACATACAGCTGTATTAATAGCCTACATACCCTGTCATTAAAGAAAATTATAAAATAACACTAGTAATTCTAATAAAACAAAACTGACAAAAGAAATAATAAATACAAATTCAGCAAAACATAATTTAGTAAAATAATATATTTTTTAGTTTTGTTTAAAAGGCGCCAGCTCCCATCGCAACCCCGCTTTGGATAAGCATGATGGATGGATGGATGGATGGATGGATGGATGGATGGATGGATGGATGGATGGATGGACGGATGGATGGATGGACGGATGGATGGATGGATGGATGGATGGATGGATGGATGGATGGATGGATGAATATTATTACTTGTGTCAGTTTCAATGTTTTAAAATTTTTAATGGAAGGGTATGTAAACTTTCTAATGCAGCTATTTATAGACCAAAAACAAGTTAAAAACACTTGGAGAGGAATGAGTAGCCTAAAAATCTTTAGAAAGACCTAAAAAATCTTAACATAAAAAGATTATAAATATAGCAGCTGATGAACATCCCTTAAGAGAAGTAAAAGCCATGTACATGGGGATGTACTTTGTTGTTTTTACATAAAGTACAGCTAGTTATAGAGCATAGAATTGACTCTATCTAAAAGGGGGTGAGTGCCTTTATAGCTCTGGGGAAGGGGCTGTTTGGAAGTCTGTTTTTTTTCTGGATTTAATGCCACCCTGAGACACAGGATACTTTCCACTGAGAATCTGTATAAGTTTTGCTAAGGAGAGAGTCGAAACTGTTTTAACTTCACAAGACAGAACATTATTGAACAACTCCATATGCTCCAACAGCTCCACCTGTATGCAGAGAGGAGTGTACTCAGTCCTCCTGGACCCCCTGTTATCTGTTCTGACTTCTTGGTCTCACTGGTGTTCAGAATGAGAAATGACCTTTTCTCTGTATTAAGTCTCATCATTGTGTGATATGAGACGTGTAATATGGTGGTGGGCTGAGAACACAACCCTGTGGTGTGCCGGTTTTGACAATCAATGGGGTAGATATGAGATTCCCATTGGTTTCCACCAGCACAGCTGTGCAGATAATCTCTGGTTGTGGAGCTTTAGGAAGGACATGCTGGGTGTGAAATCAGCAGTTTAATTAACCATTTAAAGTAGAAGTGACCGCAGTTTAAAGATTTATGAAGAGTTAATTGCTGAAACGGGTTGTTTTAATTTGGCAGGTTTCCTATCTGAAACAGTCAATGGGTTCATTCTGCAGGTGAATTACTGATTGCTCATTACTACCAAACATCTGCTTATTAGAATAAGAGTTTATTCTACAGTGGAATATGTTGTTTTGCCTGTTGGTGACATATTTGACCTCCAGTTTATTTGTAGATAACACTTTGAGGAAGGCTAGATGTGAAGCTTTCCAAAAACAAGAGAAAAAGAACATTCAAAATGAGGAATGGATTGAGAACTCATAAATTTTATTTTTTAACCTAATAATGATAAAACCCATATTTTCCTTTTCCATATACCAACAGAGCTAAGAACTTTTGTTTGATTTCTCCATATCTTTTATGCCCAGCATCGTGCAAGATTGTCCTCTGAAAATCTAAAACTCCCAGTTCTATGTGTTCATCAGCTCGATGCAGCGGTGCACTCATCATCTCCAAGGCTTTATACTCTTCTACGTGGATGGTGCACTAAACTTACTGCAGATGTTTTCAGCGTATAATTGTTGATGCATGTATTTTAGGGGAAAGTGTGTGTATTTGGGTTTGCCTATTGCTCACGTTCTGCACAGAAACAAGTAATGAGAACCTCTGCTGCTAAAACACACCGTCCCCTGACGATGTTTAGCTTCAAAAAACAATAATCGAGGGATCAGTTTACTACATGCAGTGGAGCAACAATAAATGATGCAAAATCAACTCAATAAATATAAAGTGTTACTTTTACGTCTAAGGGAAGCACAATTTTTTGTTGGCTGGTGAATAATAGTGCTACAGTTTGGAAAGGTTGTGTATTTTCTTTTCATTTTGTAAGCTAAATTCTTCCTTCTTTTTCTCTCTTTCCCTTTTTTAAAGATTCTGTGTATCTTTGCCCTCAATGAGGACTGTACAGCTTTTTCTGTGTTTTGTTTTCACCTTGTGTGTATAGTCGCGCATCTTCAGTAATGTATCTTATTTTTGTAACTGTGTCAAAAGTATTCACTATCAGTATAGATGTGTATATACATATATATAAATATATAAATATATATACATTATATAATGCAGATGTGATAAGTTGGAAGTGAGGAGGATGAGGTTCTCTGTGCTGCATTTAATTGTCTTTAAACTTTTTTGTGTTTTGTTCTGTTCTTGCACTGGATTCTATGACTGTACGCTTGATGTAAAGATAAGAAATGTGATAAGTCAACGTAATTTATTCAAATAAATACCAAGAAATGGTTATTCCCTAACGTCTCCGCATTCTTATGTGCACCTGGGACTGGCATAAACAGGTTCTTTTAAAATAAGAAAAGGCTAAAATGGCAACCACTAAAAATTGGTTAAAAAATTTTTTTATAATAGAACAATCAATATATAGACCTGGATTAAAAGCCAGTGCACTGGAACTCTGGGGATGTTTCGTTAAAAAAAATAAATCCCCACCAATTCCCACTGAGTTTCTAGGATTTACAGCTTGATTGCACTGTCTGTAAGCTAAAACAAAAATGACAGCTTAATTGCAATATTCAGTTCTCTCCTGAACTGCGCTAAAAAAATAAGACATCTCTTAAGGTAAGAATATAGAGCTGAGGACATCTCTAAACCTGAAATCCCTGAGAAATTAAGTTGTAATTCTTAACATTATTACAGAACAATAGGGTGTGCTTTGGTGGTGCAGTGGTTAGGCACATGATCGAAGTACGGAGGCCTTAATCCTTGTTGCGGCGACCCGGGTTCAAATCCGACCTGTGGTCCTTTGCTACGTGTCTCTCCCCCTCTCTCATACCCCCTTCCCAGTCAGCTTACTGTCCAAAAAATGAGTCACTAGTGCTGTAAACACAAAAAAAAAACACAGAAAACTAGTTTAGAACAAAAACAGCTAAAAACAGGAAACCTGAATGGGGCTTGTCTTAGGTAAGTATGATGCACTGGTTTATAAATATTGACCTCTCAAACTTTCACAGCACAAGAAAAGCTCAGATCCTACAGACAGACTGGTAAAAAGCTTCTATTTAAGGGAAACCAGAATATTGTATCCAGTCGTTAACTTTTCAGGATTCCTTCCGCCTGGATGAGCATGTGGCAACAGTAGACATTTGTGCTGCTATCTCGACAGCAATCTCTGATACCAAGCATGCATGTAGCGACAGTGGAGAGGTAAAACTCCCTTATAAAAGGAAAATATCTCCAACAGAACCAGGCCCAGTTTGAGCAGCCTTCTACTGAGGCCGACTGGGGATCAAGCAGACAGAGGAAATAGAAGCACTGATCCATGAATACTTTTTATGATAGAAAAGGTAACTTGCTCTACAGGTTAATTTGTCTGAGAAAGAAGCAGCAAAGCACATGAGCTCTGAGCCACATACAGTTAGTTACAGTAAAAGCTAAGCCCATAACAATGTATAGAAGAGAAACAGGACTATTGAAAAAAAGGCCTGACTCTGTTTTCTATAAAGGAGGTTGTTGATGACAAAACCTAGCTTATATCACCCACCAGGATGGTGTCACAGCTAAACAGAGCACCAAGTCAGATGTAGCTACTATGACCAGAAAAAGCAGAGATGACATACATTTAGGGGTTGAACAAACAAATAATACCGAATTGAGGAATAGAAGTAGAATAAACAAAAATTTGGTATGATTTAAAAAGTTGTACCTATGTCCTTCAGCAGCCCAAGCTGATGAGAACAAAAGGATAAACTATTAGGAATATTACCTCTGGAAAAAGCGTGAGTTACAGAGTATTTAATTTATATTTCTTCCTCACTCCTTTTAACAATGTTTTTTCTACTTTAGTGTTTATTTTCTAGTGTTTATTTTATGTCCAGTAACTTCAAATGAGGCAAAACTCCACAGCTTTAAATGCAGATGGCTGAAAGGACTTCAAGATTCCCAAACATCTGATTAGCAAGCAGATTTGACAGATCACATCACTAAAGCCTTCAGGTCTCCACCCATTATCACTCACCACCAACAGACAACACCCTCTGTTCATGCACTTAGTCTAACCCCTGCTCAGCCCTACAGCAACATGCACACTCGCTTTGGTGCAATGGATGCCATACGATGCCCCAAGAGGAACTTCGTGCAGCTTAATGGTTAATGCCACCAAGTCTTTAGATCAGCATTGGAGCATGTCCACCTCCCTGTCACACAGCCTGATCACAGCAAACAAGTTCTCTGCCTTCAGTTTGTTTGACTGGTTGCATGCAGGATAGGTCTCCAAACATTTATGCAAACTGAATATACAGTACCGACACGATACTATGTGTACAGGTGGATGCTGTAGATAAAGGGCGTGTACTGCTTAGTCTAACCTTGCCAGTGGATGAACCTACCTGAGCGGCTATTTGTTGTTTGGCAAAGCTTCAAATGCAATCAAAAGCCATCTCCTCTTATGTGTAAAAATTTGTGCTCCTCTGCAGAAACTTTGAAAAACCTCCAATTTCTCTCATTATGAATTTATGTTTAAATTCACAGAAATTATTCATAAAAACCTTAAGCTAAGTTATTAATTTAATATTCAGTCCTACAGTGTCGGCTTACATATACGTACAGTTAATAAACAAAATGTTTCATATCAGGAATATATTATTTTCAAGCTCTCCGGGTACTCCGGCTTCCTCCCACAGTCCAAAAACATGACTGTTAGGTTAATTGGCTTCTCTAAATTGTCCTTAGGTGTGCATGAATGGTTGTTTGTCCTGTGTGTCTCTGTGTTGCCCTGCGATAGACTGGCGACC